GACTGTCTCTTCAGACTTGGTCTCTTAGGATCATCCACAGGTACCTATACTGTAGATAGGTCTTAGTCATCAGGTCTACTCCACTTCCTTGTTGCCTGCTTAGACTCTTGGCACTCTTAGGTGAGCAGACTTAGTCAGCCTGTGTTGCCCTAACATCTGCCAACCAAGACATCATCAGCTATTGTGCTCTGTTCTCTCTGAAACAGGGTGACACCACCCTCAACAAGTAGATCCTCAAGTTTGAATCCAAAGCAATGAACACCACTGGACTTGCTGATAAAGTCAAGGTGGCTGCATTTGTCTCAGGGCTCTGGTCTGGAATCCTCAGTCAGCTTTGGTATGACTTGGAGCAACACCCAACTAGTCTCAACTACCAGTCAGTTGTTTGGCTTGCCCAGCAATATGATGGGTCCTTCATTCCCATGGGCCCCTCCATGGGAAGTCACCAGGGTCATTGACTTCAGAAGAAAAGCACCACACAAGTTTCAGAAATGAATGCAGTTGCCTCAGGTTCATGCACCCAGCCAAAGCTCTGATGCTGGAACTGCAACAAGGAAGGTCACCAGATGAACACTTGCCCTGATCCCATTACCAATGCTGCCAAGAAGAAGAGGAATTGAAAGCCAAGTATTAGGCAGGAAAAGGGAAGGGACACCAGTAGAGGGCCCACTGTCCATCCCAAAGAAGAGCCCTATCAGCATGTGAGCTGGCCATGAAGGTCAAGTGTCTGTCGAAGATGCTGTGATGCAAGAAGAAGACACCAGCTTCGATGTTGAAGCAATCAAGTTGAGTGCCCTGCCCAGAAGTGGAGGACACAGTGTTGTTTTTACCATGGAGTTACATGACATGATGGCCAATGTGCTTGTGAATACTGGTGCTGAAGAAACATTTGTTTTGGACTGGTGGGCCAGCTGAAATGGCTCTGTTCAACAAGAGCAAATAAAACTGTTCACTGTCAAGACTGCACTTGGACAGCAAGTGGAACAAAATGAAAGAACCCAACTGAATCTTGCTTGTGGTCACTTGTATACTGGACAAGTCTTTGCTAAACTTGTGCCACTTGCCACCTATGATCTCATCCTTGGCTGGGATTGGATCCTGAAGAATGTTAGTTACACAGACTGGGATAAGGGAGAATGGCACCTATGTGATGCTGCAGGTCACCCTCATGTCTTCTGCCCAACAGCACATCCACTCCGTGCCCAAATTTGAGAGCTCTCAGTAGTAGAGCTTGAAGACCAGACACTGTTAAGTTGACATGGTTTCTACTGAGTAATGTGCAGGCAAAAGAGTGAAGCCTTCATTGCCTTGTTATTCTCAGACAAGACTCTGGCATCTGGAAAGATGCTGCTGAATGAAGTCACAGTTGGGAAGCCACATTTTGAGGAGGAACCAGCTCCAGGCACACAAGAAGCTGCGGAGCTTGGTGAACCAAAACTGGCAGCAGTAGGGGAGCCATTATGAATGAGGTTGCAGAAGGTACTTGATCACTACTGCTCTTGCTTCACCAAAGGTATTCCCCATGCACCCACTGTGTCACAAGAAGTAGAAGCACTTCTTGAGACAGGAGACACAACTCCATGGGCTGAAAACCCAAGACCCATGAGCCAGCCTTGGTTGGATGAACTCTGAGAACAGCTCAACAACCTCCTCGAAAAGGGTTTTATTCAACCCTCCACATCACCATGGTCATCACCAGTATTGTTTGTGCAGAAGGCTGATGGCAGTTGGCAAATGTGTATTGACTACCAGGCTGTGAATGAAGTGACTGCAAGAGATTGGCATCCTCTACCACTCATCTCAGATTGTCTGGATCAACTTGGCAGAGCAAGAGTTTTCTCCAAGATCGATATGACATCTGGCTTTCACCAGATTCAAATTGCAGCCCCACATGTTCCAAAAACCACTTTTTCTTCAAGATATGGGCACTATGAATGGCTTGTAATGCCATTTGGACTGCAGAATGCACCAGCAGTCTTCCAATGACTCATGAACAGAGTGTTGGGACCATAACTTGACCATTTCATTCTTGTATATCTTGATAATATCTTGATATACTCAAAGACTGAAGAGGAACACCCAGAACATGTCTGACAAGTCCTTGAAGCCTTGACAAGTGCAGACTTGTACATGAACCCCAAGAAATGCAAATTCGGAGCAACATCAACAAATTTTCTTGGACACTATATCTTGACAAGTGGTATTGCAGTGCAAGAGGAGAAAGTTGCCATGATCAAGGAATGGAAACAATCGGAAACTGTGACAGAAGTCTGATCCTTCCTTGGCCTTGCATCATATTATTGTCACTTTATCCAGCATTTTGCAAAGATTGCCGGACCACTGCATGACTTGACAAAAGGGAAGGTTTCAAAGCTTTCTCTGGTAACATGGACACTGTCATGTGAGAATCCATTTTGCAAGCTCAAGAGTGCCTTGACTTCAGCTCCAGTGCTTGGACCACCAGACATGAACAAGCCATATCGAGTTGCAACAGATGCTTTGGACTTTGCAATTGGTGCAGAACTTGCTCAGCAAGATAAAGCCAGACATTGGCACCCCATAGCCTTCAAGTCCTGCAAGCTCACATCTGCAGAGCAAAACTATCCAGCCCAAGAACAAGAACTTCTTGCTGTGCTGTATGCATGGCAGAAATGGTATATCTACCTAGAAGGGGCAGTCAGTCAGACAACAGTCTTGACAGACCATGCTTCTCTTGCTTACCTCAAGCAACAAAAGGTCATCACTCAATGCCTTGCTCAGTGGATTGAAGAGTTCTCCATGATGGATGTGAAGATCATCTATTGGAAAGGAGTAGAGAACACCATTCCAGATGTGCTCTCAAGGATGAGAGACAATTTCAAAGGGGGAGAAGGTCCAGATGTTACTGAAATTGTGGCATTGGACTTTGATTTCAACTCATTCAAATGGATGGACTGGCCATTACTAGTACCAGCAGTACTGGAGAATGAAGAAATTCCAGCCTCAGTCCCAGAAAACCTTGTCAAAGAAGCCAAGAGACAAGCTGGTGATTTCCGATATGACACAGTTGCGGAAACACTTGTATTTACTGGGCCAAATGGAAACAAGTCTTCACCCTTTATCCCATTCTTGCACCGTGCAGAATTATGCAATGTGCTTCATAAGGAGTATGGCCATTGGGGTGTCCACAGTATGCTTGACTTGCTCAGAGGACAGGGTTGGTGGCCTGGATGACAAAAAGATTGTGAGACATATTATTGGACATGTCCACAATGTCAAATCTTCTCCAATCCAAGGAAATGACAGGAGTTTGAAGAACAACACCCACTTCCACCAGTTGAACCATTTGAGCAATGGGGAATTGTGAGGGCACTAGGTCTAGCAAGGTTGCCACACACTAATCCCAAACAATAGATGAAGTGCTGGGGGGTCTACTGTGGTTGAAAGCAGCTCTAACCAGCAGTACTAGTTGATATCCACATCACCAGGGCCAGCTGGATTATTGGGGGGGTCCAAGGGGGTCACTGGGGGGTCCCAGGGGGTGTTATAAGTTGGTTATAGATAGCTAAAAGTGTAGCAAGAGTTGTGGAGTCAAGGCAGGTTTCTGAGAGCAGGGTGTTCAGGCATGTGTAGAAGGGGCTTCAAGATGATGAGATGACTTAGAAACTGCTTGTAGACTAAGGAGTTTCCTCAGAGATCAAATCTGAGGGATTGTTAGGGCAACACAGGCTGACTAAGTCTGCTCACCTAAGAGTGCCAAGAGTCTAAGCAGGCAACAAGGAAGTGGAGTAGACCTGATGACTAAGACCTATC